ACATAATATTATATATAAATATATAATATAATATAAATACTATATATAAATACATATAAATACATAAATACATATATAGATGTATATGTGTGTATATACACATACACACATATACATCTATATATACATATACATTTACACATAATACTTAGTATATTAAACTTAGCATCATACATATATATATATATACATGTATATAATGTGATATATAACACTGTGCAAACAACAAGCATGCAATAAATGTTCTTAACAGACTGACTGCCACAAATCTCCACACATTCATACACATTACTCAAGAGGCAGAAAACTTTAAGCTCAACAGTAACACTTTACCATAGACCTGTTAATTTTGATTTTACCCTTCTTGATATTAGAGCCCCTGGATTCAAATGGAATTAGAGAAGAAGAAATGATGCATTGTATAACTTTTCCAGCTGCTTCATGGACCCCAAATGATTCTTTTTTTAAACGTCCCCATTCCTGACAACTCTGGGGGAAATCGTCTGAAACAACGCAAGTATAAAGATTGAAAAACTCATTCTCAAATACAAGCCTGGGATTATATCTATGGAAACAGCTTTCATGTGGTATTTTGTGATGACATTTATAATGTAATGTTGGTAACAATGTAATTTCATTGTATGATAAACATCAATTTACCGTAAAAAACAAATACAAACTTGTCACCACTTTCACCTTGTTTCAATTGAATTGGCCTTGTTCAGATAAGCATGCCTATCTCTTACAGAAACAACAGTTCATAGATAAACTGTATTAAATGTGTGTGTGTGTGTGTGTGTGTGTGTGTGTGTGTGTGGAATTATACTGCCTACTAACATAATTTCATACTGACACATTGTACATATGGCTTCCAAGCTTGCTTTATCTGAATCTTTGCGAATCTATTCTCCATGCTATTAAACTGAGCATATTCCACATCGTTCAAAAGTAATTACACTTTTGTTTAGAGTGTAGGAGACTGCTCTCCCTAAACAATGAAATTCTCATTATTAGAACTGGCACAATAACGGCCCTGGTGTTCACAACACTGTGCATTTTACCATCACAATAACTTATGCTAAGCTTGATGTACAAAGGTACACCAGAAATTTAAATATCTCTTTAAAAACCCACTATATAAAATAACATATTTACTATTCTAAAAGTCAGACATCAGTCTGACTTTTTAAAAGCTGCAATAGCATCTTTACACGTTCTATGCATTTTCACATCTCCTAAACAGCAGTTGTTCTTCTGAACAATCACATTCTCCTAAATCAAACATCTAAAGTATATATCTGAATATTGAACTTTAAGTAAACATTATGGTGATTGAAAATTTGAAGATATAGCTAAAATATGGAATTTAAAAATTGGTTTAAAAATTCTGGGAGAGAATAGTAAGCCTAACATTAAGAAAAGAACCTGGTTGTCCTGTGAGTTTAATGAATAATTTCAGAGCTTAAGGATAGATTCAGTACACTAGATCCCTCTTCAGTTATTGTCCTTGAGGTTCATGTTATGTGATAAACTTAGAGGGAGATCATCTTTTTTTTTTATTAGAGATCATCTTTTAAAAAAGGGGGTTTTGATACACAGGTAAACATTCAGGAAGGAACAGACATTTTGTTTCACAGCAAATAGTGTTATACAGTGTTCTAGTGCATATTGTGATATATGAAATCACAGTATCTAATAATCTGCTCCACAAACTCCTTACCCATTCCAGGAATAGACCATCCAATCAGACAACAATGTGGATAATTTTGATATGTATTACTATCATGCTTCAATCCCAAAAGGTCCACTTCTTTAAAACTCCTAACTATAGACAAAAATGGTCTGAATCTTCACTGTCCACTTTGGGACAGGTGTGTGTGTGGGACAGGACAGTTGACTTAGTCAGCTTAGGGGGAATCAAAGAAGTCAAAATATAATTTGGCCAAGACATGGCATGATTTTAGTAAAAAAGACAGCTGATCATTAAATAACCAAAAATGGTCATATCACATATGTCACTGGAACAATATTCCAGCACACAGAACGACCCTGCAACTACATAGGGACCAAGTGCCAAAATGGTTAGGACACAGCTTCCCAGCTGCCCCTGATACTGCCACTTCATTCGCCTCCAAACTTACCATGATCCCTGCTGGTACCTATAAATATCCTTGTCAGTTGGCATTAAGGCATACTTTGGACAGTCATATGCAAGACCAAGCAAATCAACCCTAATCATACCCCAAACAAGAACTGTTGCTGAAGAGCCAAAAAACATCCGTGATTGTGTTCTACCAATGAGAAAGGTTGAAAAAGATCAAGCATACTGTTGATGATAATCGAACTATATAAAGGCAATGATGGCATAAGAAAAGTAGAGATTGAATTCCAATTTGGAAAAATACAAACAGGATAGGGAAAGATGAAATTTACATGCTTTCTCAGTGGGCAAAAACCTGAGAGAGAAGTATTCCCAAATTCCTACCCGAACAACATAAGATTCAGAGAATTCAGTGAGATAGTGTTCCAATGCAGACACTAACAGTAACAACCATAGTAATCATAAGTACCACCACTACCACAAGCACTACCAGAAACATCACCATGAGCATGACGTCCCTCAACACTATTTTAAAACAATTTCTTAGATCATAACTCCCTTAAAGGTAGCCCAGGCATCTAGCATAATACCTTGCATATAATAAGTAGTCTGGAAACAGGAAGACATAGATTCAAATACTTCCTCTGATACTTATTAGCAGGATTACTATGAACAAGTCACTTAGCTCCTTAGATTTGTAGTCATCAGTCAAATAATCCTGGAAGTATCTACTTAAAAGAGCTGTTACTCTCAAATGTGATCATGTGTAAAGCACTTTGTAAACTTCAAAGTGCTATATAAACGGAAATTATTATTATAACCTCAATCAATGCTTACATTTTATTAAGGTACAACTATTAGAAGAGATGTGATTCTTTTTACTGACACCAACTAGACTGCATAACCAAGAACTCAATATCATGATCTATGCACAAAAGCCATCATGAACTGATTGAAGGCATTGGAGGCCAAACCTACAAGTTGGTAAGATGTAGAGTAAGTTACACTGTAAACTTCCCTGCAACAACTTTTTAATTTAGAGAAATATGGGCATAATTAATAACTAGGATACTATTCAAGAAGAAAAGAAAGTTAAAATACCACAACACACAGTATTCATCCTAAGGGGTATAAAGAATGTGGTAAGGATCAGAGATGGGGTGTTAAAAAATACCTCAGAGGGCATTTATTCCAACACTACCATTTTACAGTTGAGGACACTGAGGCCTATGGAGATTAAGTGACAAATTTAAGAAGAAATTAGGTGGTATTTCAACCTGGTCCCTCTCACTCCAGAGTCAGTGCTCTTTCCATTAAAACATATTGCCTCATTTAGGGAACCTTGTTGCCTACTAGCCAATGATCTTGGTGGCAAGTTAACTAATGTATAAATGTCCAGGGTCTTTTTAGCATTAGGTGATAGAGGAATGTCCTTCCTCCTTGCCCTGGGAAATGTGAGGCCCTTGGCAATCATCCTAAATTCTTGTACTCTGAGGGTGTCTTTAAGGGAAATTGTTGAACAGTTGCATTATTATCCAAAGAAACAAATATAAAGAGCATTGTTAAGGAAAAAGAAATAAGGCATTTGAGGTAATACTGTGGAAGACAAATTGGACTATGAGTCATGACACTCAGGTTCTAATCTTGTGTTGCCATGAACTAGATGTTTGACATTTCACATGTCATATGTAACCTCTATTGTTTTTTTTTACCTGAAAAATTAAGAGATTTTTATTGTACATCTCTTAAGGTCTTACTTTAACATAACTCTACATAAACAGAAATATATAGAATTTAAGGAACCTAAATTAGGAATGTAAAGATGTAATTTAGAGAAAAATATTAATTCATCATTGTGAAAAACCCTTTCAAACACAGGAATGGCTAGAGTGCTATTGGACAGATGAGTTGGCGTACAGTGTGGTATGATGGAAAGAGAAGTGACCCTGGAAGCAGAATACCTGGGTTCAAATTTCTCTCTAATGGTAATGATCTGTGTGACAATGGACAAGTCACTCAACCTTTCTGTATTAGCTTCCTCATCTGTAAAAAGTTCTATATCTATGATCCAGGCAAACTGGACGTACATTCTATGTGCAATTGTATTTCTAACCACATTGCCACTAGATTCTATGACAATCATTCACAGGAACTACTGCAATTTACAACTTCCATTATAAATGTCAAATATGATACTTTTAATTTGTTTATATCTTATTATGTACTGTTTGTCTCCTGAATTACATTGTAATCTTTTTGAGGGTAGGATCATGTTTAAAAGCACTTTTAAAGTTGGTCATATGGAATATTCTTAAAAATAAAATGTTTTACATGCAACAAAATCTTGGTTAACACTAAATATTTATAAGAAAATTTATATATTATGGAGACATGTAATATACAATCATAAGTAGATATGCATACACACATTGCATTATGTACATATTTGTCTGTATACATGTGTGTATAGGTATTTAATGTGTGCATCTATTTCTTTATCTATAGATAGGTAGGTAAAGATGGAGAGAGAGAGATTATAGTTCTCTGGTATTTCAGACCTAAGCCTGGATTTGAATTCAATATGAGCACAAAAGGCTAAAATAAGGACAGAATTCATAAGAAAGAAAGTTCAAACTTATGGTATATTACAGCACATTGCTCCTAGGTATAGTTTTAGATGGTCTTAAGTAAATGTATATACTATAATATCAACATATGAATAGAGATCATTAATTTTTTATAACTTTTAGAAAAGTTAAGTTAGTATTTCATATTATCACGGTGTTATATAGCCCATTAACAATGTCCTATTTAGAGTAGAAAGCTGAATGCCAAGCTACTAAAGGAGTAGAATGGTCCAAGAATGAATGTAAGGACAAAAGACCACAAGAAAACCTACCACTGTGTTGTGCTGAGAAGTGGGAGTCCTATGGCCACAACTCTCTTGCGTCAGAAGAGAAACTGGTTGAAATTCCTCAGAGTGAGGCTTGTTGGGAAAACTCACATGCAAGGGAAGGTGAAAGGCTGGGAGCCCGTCACTCTCCTCTTCTTCCACTTTCTGTCTGCTTGTCACCATGGCTACCTCTCCATCTGCTTCCCCATACGGAGAGGCTGGTCGCTTGGAAGACATCCTGGAAGGAACAAAAGAGGAGAAAATAATGAAACCTCCATATAAATCCTTAATGCCGTCATTGTGTGGTTAGGGGCCATTGTAACAGAAATGCCTTTTTGTGCTGGCAGAGAGCAGGAAACCATCCAAATACCACTGCAAAGCATACACAATCAGAAACAATGGCCAAGCAGGTAGCAACAGAACAGTGCTTGTTTGTTGTGAGAATAATACACTAATATAGCACTCTCTTGTATTCTGGCTTCTTAAACAAGAAAATTCACCTAAGAACACTGCATACTGAAAGACCATTTCTTTTTAAAGGAAAAAAAATACCCATCTAGTTTTACACTTTGATAGGCCTTATTGAGGACAGAATCTGTGAATAATGAACACTGCTGTTCAGAGAGGGAGAAATAACATTAATAATTTCTTTTATTTTTAAAAACCAAAAACCAAAATGCTTGCTATTATCTTGCATTTGAGTTATGTTAAAATTAAAATTATTATAAAAAGCAAAAACAGTAGTCAGTGATAGGTGATATGAAGAGTTTGATATTTAAATAGCCCTTAAAAAGTTTGGATGTCCGAACATTACTAATGCCACAATGACACAGATTTAAATTGTTTCTGAAATTTTGTCAGTTTAGTTGCACTTTCAAGGTCTGAGAATTCCATGAACCTTCTCCTTCAGCATTTAGTTCTAATTTGTGAGTTGTAAAAGATATATAACAAGAGAAGTAAGATTATCTAAAATTTTTAAAGCTAAGGTTAGATTGTTTAGATTTATATTCTTAGAATTTATGTGCTCATTTCTAGAAATCCAGAAATTAGGGAAAAAGAAGCCAGAGAAAATGTTTTGTTTTAATAAAGTAAGGTTGGTATTGTAGAGAGTTATATAGTTTCTTCCACAAAATAGACAAGAACATTTTCTTCAAACTTTAATCAGCTTCAGAATATTAGCAGGAACCGAAAAATATGCAGCAAATTATTTAAACAGAAATATTAATATTTCTCAAAATAAAAGTTTTATGGAGAAAGGGGATTGAGATAACAGAAGACCTTCTTCCAAATATTTAAAATTAATCCAATCTTGAAAGAATTAAAAACCCTAGATAGATGCATATATACATATATACACACAGACACACACAAAGAAGATTAAAGAAACAAATACTCATCTTAGAACAAAGGAAAGTATGTGATGAAAGAATTCTTTGCTTCAAGACATTTAAATGCTTTTAAAAATTACTCATCACTGGTCTTTATTAAATTTTTCTCTGATTCCTCATTCTAACATAAAGATGACTTTCCTGTCACATTCTCCTCCCTCATCCCTATGCCATATGATGAAGTGGCCTTACTCTTTACCAAGGCTAACCCCTCTACTTGCTCAAACTATCTTAGCCCCTCTCCTTCAATAGATTATCCCTTTGTCACGCCCACTCTTTCACTCATTTTCAGTCTCTCCCTCTCTGCTAACTTATTTCCTACTGCCTACAGACATGGCCATTTTTATTTGATCTTTCCATCCCTATTAACTATCATCCTATATGCTTTCTGCCCTTTGTAGCTAAACTCCTTGAAAAGGTCATCTACAAGATGTGCTTCCACTTTCTCTCCTCTCTCTCTTTTCTTAACCCCTTCCAATTTGGTTTCCAACCTTATCACTCCATCAAAACTTCTTTCTCCAAAGTTAGTAAAAATCTCTTAGTTGCCAAATCCAAAGGTCTTTTCTCAGTCTCATTCTCCTTGACCTCTCCTTTCTCTGCAGCCTTTGACACTGTTGATCACTTTCTCCTCGATACTCTCTTCTCTTTAGGTTTTCTGAATACTACTCTCTCCTGGTTTTCCCCTCACCTATCTGATTTCTCCTTCTCTGTCCCCCCTTGTTGGATCCTTCTCCAGATCATGCCCTCTAACCAAAAGTTGTGCTCAGGGTTCTGTCCTATGCCTTCTTCCCTTTTCCCTCTATACTTCACTTGGTGATCTCATCAGCTCCCATAGATTTAATTACTATCTCTATACTGATAATTCTCAGATCTACCTTTCATGCTCTAATCTCTCTTGACCTCCAATCTCACATCTCCAACTGTCTTTTAGACATTTTAAACTAAATGTCCAGTAGACTTCTTAAACTCAATATGTCCAAAATGGAATTCATTTTCTTTGCTTTTAAACCACCCCTATCTCCCACCTTCTCTATTGGTGTAGAGGGCAACACCATTCTCCCAGTCCCTCAGGCTTGCAACCTAGAAGCCATCCTTGTCTCCTCACTATCACCCCACCTCTCCACCCCTTCCAAGCTATTGCCAAGATCTGCTGATTTCACCTTTGCACCATCTCTCATACATACCTTTCTTTCCTCTGACACAGCCACCATCCTCATACATCCTCATCACCTCACACCTGATTATAGTAATAGCCTGCTGGCAATTCTGCCTGCATCAAGTCTCTCTGTGCTTCAATCCATCCTCCATTAAGCCACTAATGTGGTTTTCCAAAATACATGTCTGATCATGTCGTCCATAAACTCTAGTAAGCTTTCTAGTGCTTCCAGGATAAAATTAAAAAAAAAATGTTCTGCTTGGCCCTTCTAAAAGCCCTTCACAACCTAATTTTCTGCTACCTTTCCAGTCTTCTTATACCTTACTTCCCAATACATACTCTTTGTTCCACTGACACTTGGCCTCTTGGCTGTTCCATAAGAAGACACTCCATATCTACGCTCTTGGCATTCTCTCTGGCTTTCCACCAGGCCTTGAATACTCTCCCTCCTTGCTTCTGAATTGGCTCTAACTCCTTGGTTTTTAAAGGACCATCTAAAATCCCACCTTTTAGAGGAAGCCTTCACCAACCCCTCTTAAACCCAGTGCGTTCCCTCTCTTAATTATTTCCTGTTAATCCTGTATGTGGCTTGCTTTTTTATACATACATACAAACATACATATAATGCTTAATGCACCCCCACCCTTGTGTCTAGGTGTGCAAGGCTGATGGGCGGGACAAGCTGGGGATTTCTCTCTGCCTTGTGATGAAAGTGGGATGGAAGAGCAATCCAGCAACACCATCCCCTGTAATAAAAAGAGACAGTGTAGAATATCCAAATTCTGGATCTATCAATTACTGCTGACTTCTCCTCTCTAGGCCTCAGTCTCCTCACTCCTCAGTCTCCTCATTTGTAAAATAAGGAACCAAGATTAAATGGTCTCTCAGATCCCTTCTAGCTCTGACATTCGACATTCTAAAGTCCTTTCTAGCTTAGACAGTGTATAAAATTGAAAATAAAGATCAGTTAAAGGGGAAAAAAGTAAGAATGAATAGGTCTATAACTATCTATATTCATTAAAGATTGGGGAGCCCTTTCAAGATCTCTCATAACTTCATAATGTAGTCCTTGTCTATTTCTTTGTACTATAGCAATGAAAACTTGTAGAAAATCTGAATAAAGCCCCTACCCTTACCTGAGAGGCAGCTGGGCAGAGGACATTATGAATCTGAGGTCCTTTCTATGGGCTATCTGGTTAAGAAGACCTCAAGCAGAAGAAGCATTGGTGCCAAAGGAATAGGTAAGCCAAACCCTGAAGCTAATGGGAGATAAGAAAAAGGGAGCAAGAGGTACTGGTTTAAGACTGAGAAGTATCTCTCAGCATTTCAATCCATGTTGCTGTCCCCTCTCTTCATAGAATCTTGGGGATGGAAGACTACTCACATGGTACCTAGTACAACTCAGTAAATGAAAACAAATGCCTTGTAGAGAATTACTAATGAAAGATTGTGTAGCCTCTGATAGAGGATCTCTTAGTAATTAGAATACTCATGACTTTATGAGGCAATCCATTCCACTTTCGGATAGTTCTTATGGTGAGAAAATTTGTATTTCTTCTATTACTTTTAGAATAAAATACAAACTCCTCAGCTTGGTATTTAAAGACCTCTACAAAGTGTTTCTGTCCTGTCTCCAGATATTTCTTTTTTAAATTTTAATGATGCCCTTTGTGTTTTACGCCATAGTCATTTCCTGATATATCCCTCCCTGATAAAACTCTTCCATGTAACAAAAAAATGTTTAAGCAAAACCTGCTGACACCAAGACCTTGTCTGACAGTATGTAATAAATAATAGCTACCATTTATATGGTACTTTAAGGTTTGCAAAGTATTTTACAAATAGTATGTTTTATCCTCACAAAAACCGTGGGAGGTAGGTTCTATTATTGTGTTCATTTTACAGATAAAGAAACTGAGGCAAGTAGAGCTTAAGTTACTTGTCCAAGGTCACATAGCTGGTAAATATCTGAGTCTAGATTTGAACTCAGGTCTTCATAATTCTAGGCCCAGCACTCCATCCACTGGACAATATTCCATGCCCTAGGTCTACAAATTATCCTGAGAGGAGAGAAGTATGCTTCATTGTTTGTTCTATGAAACCAATAATGCTCATTATATTTATTTTGAGTTCACTTTCAGAGATGATTTCATTTATAGTATTTTAGTCATGTATGTTCTGGTTCTGCTTTCTTTGATCTGCCTTCGTTCATAAAAGTCTAGACCTATGTGCTAATATCTTTGAATTGAAAGGGACCATAATAATTTTATAGGTGAGAAAATTTAAGCTCAGGGCAAGCAAATGACCTGTCCAAGGTCATATACCTAGCAACTGCCAAAGTATGCATCTGAATCTGGGTCTCTTAATTCCAAGTCTAGCACTTTTGCTCTGCTCCATACTATTTAGGTTTCTGTTCATAATAATAATAAGAAGAAGAATAAGTTATCATGGGTGAAGTCTTTAATTGCACTTGAATTGCATTTAAGTAAGTGAGAATTGAGTAAAGTCCTCAGCTTCACTCTGTCTTCCTGAGTCACTGATGTCCAGTGGCTGTACAAAAATCATGACAATTGCTAATGGCCTGGAGTGCCATGAATGGCCACAGCATCTTTCATGCCTGACCAAGATCTAAGCTCTCTATAGCGTGTACTTCAGCCACCTTCATGGTCCTTTGAACAAACTGTTCTCATCCAC